TCAATTAATTAAATTTTAAAAATTTAAGTTAAAATTTTAATTTTTAAATATAAATTAAAATTAAAATTTCTTTTAAAATAAAAATTGATCTATATTAATTTATACGTGTGTGTTGCGTGTTACACCTTTGCTTAAAAGCAGAGACTTCAGTTCGGCGCGAGAGCGGCGGTTGATATTCGAGAGTGGGTTACACACTCATATATACACCTATATAGGTTTAAATATCATTTTGATCCCTCAGCTTTTTATTTTGGTATTAAAATTATTCTTAAATTTTAAAAAATATTAAAATTATTTTTAAACTTTCATTTTTAATACCAAAATAGTCCTTCTGTCAGTTAAATGGATATGTGGCACATTAATTTACCAGCAAATCAATTCTTTTGTTTTTAACTAATGACATGGAAAAAAAAAAGCATAGTTGGCATTCTTTTTCTATGTGTTGGCATTTTTATATAATTTAAAAATAATGACATTTTTTTTTTTCCATCCATCTCAGAAAAAAAATCTCAAATGGATTCTCATAAGTGTTTTTCTGCAAAACCTCATCAACCATATCAATAACAAAATTATCATTAAAATCAAATTTGATTAAAGGAGACTTCCCATTGAACACTTCAAATGACACTTGAGCTTTTTCATCTTCTTCCTTATGGACATCCTCTTGTTTAGTTTTTGCAGGTATACTTTCCACTTCTTCAAGTTGTCTTTCATTTTTTAAGGGTAAAGTGTTCATCTTTTCTTCTTGATTTTTCATTGTTCCACTAGGTAACTCACCTTGTGTCTCTTTAGCAACTAAGTTGAGCAAATGACTTGATTGGACCTTAAGATTTTTATCCAAACATGTCTCCTCTTCTTGATCTTGAAACCTTGATTGTAGCTCCAGTATTTCTTCATTATCCCATGAGGAGTTTGAATAATTTATCCAATCAGAGTTACATGTATTGGGATAAGAATTATACTGCTAACTATAAAACTCACAAGAAAAATCAACACACTTGTTATATCGTTTAAATAAGCAATCAGAACTAAAATGGTCGAATCCACACCATTGACAAGTGATATTTAATCGTTCTATTAGAGCTTTCTTTAATTTCTGCCTTTCGATGACTGCTTGAAATCGTTCAAGTTCATCATCGTCAATTTATGCATCCCAATTGATAGTTATTGCTTCAACTTGTGCCCTTATCTTTGGTGCAAGCCATTGATAATTCACATCAGTGTTTAAGACAACTCGATCTATAGTTAAACTTTAAAAACAAAAACAGAGAAATGAAAAAAAAAAAATCAAAGTAAAGAAATAAAAGAAAAGAAAACGTTCAAATTAAATCTAGAATTATTTTTTATAATATTAATGTTTAACAATATGGCCTACAAAAAATTAGGAGGAAAACACTCCAAAATTACTTTAATTTAGTAAAATCAAAACATTCTTATTCCAACTTTAAGAAAATATTGTTTTTATCTTTTTTAATGTGAGTTTATTGAAATTATATAATTTTGTAGTGTTTTTCTTCCTAAATTTTAGAGATTCAGTTAACAAATACACTTCTCTTTTTTTTTTAATTGATCATTGCATAATTTATTACTATGATATTTTTTTATTATAATAAATACATTTATTTTTAATTTTTGTTAACAACATATCTATAAAAAAGATCACAAATGAATCTTTTTATAAAAGAAAAAAATTCTTTAAAAAATAAATTAATATTATAAAAAATACTCTTAAAATCTCAAATCTTTAACACTAACTTTTACCCCGTAACTAAATTTCCTAACACCATCCCTGACTTAGATCCCCTTAAATTACGTAATTTTATTAAGTTTTGTTAATTTTTTTTTTTTATTTTACCTAATTTTGAAAAGTTAAATACGATTAACGGAACCCACGTAAAATTTCCAGTAGGTTCTACGTATACCAACGTTGATTGTTCCAAGTGATTATCCTATTTCTAACCTCAATTTTCTTCCCTTTTCATATAATCTTTGTTTCCATTTTAACCCATTTTGCACCTTTTTTTATGCAGGGTTGGTTGAAATTTCAACAGGGTGCACTGCAGGATTGCAGGAGTCTTTTCTCCATATATATGGCATAACAACAGAATAAAGCTTAAACTGTTTTGTAACAGAACTGTATTTCCTTATCTTGTTGTTTTAATTAAAATTTGCCTTCCCACTTTAACTTGGAACATTATGCATCAAAACTAGAATTTTTTGTTTTTTGAGGAAGCTCAGAGAGTGAATTACTGATGAGGTATGGTACCTACTGTTTAATTATATATAGACAAAACTCGAAAATGAAAGACAATAATTGAATTAAGTTTGAAGTAATCAAATTTAACATTGTGCCTGAATTTATTTGTATAACGCTCTATATAGTGCTTATATCTAACTTAATGTTCTGAATGAATTTCATAACGTGGAATGTGGATCTTGTCATTCTCTGCACCATATGCAAATTCAATACATCAACGTGCACCGACGTACTTCTATCTTAAGCCAAATGTTAAGAGTGTTCTCAACCTCAACTAATCTGTTGTGCCTTCAAATTTGGAAATATGTTGAATGCAGAGTTGCTTACCTTTCTTCTTCTTTAATACCCTTAAAGTCGAATCTACTTATATATATATATATATATATAAGGTCAAAATGTCCTCTACATTGATATGATGTATTTTAAAAAAATTAATTTTTTAATATTAATCCAAAAATTTAAAATTTTAATCTAGTCTACGAGAGAAAAATTTACATTTTTTTTTTCTCATTCATCAAAAGAAAATTTTTACCTCTGAGAACTCATTATGAGCACAGAATACAAGCTCAAAATTAAGTTTTTGGTTACGGCCCAATAAATTGTTCAGAAGAGAAAGATTCAGAGATAATAATAAAGATGGTGCAATTGGAACCCAATAACTATTATGGGCCTACGACCCAATAAAATGACTGCGCTTTGTTCATGAACCATGTAACTAAACGCTTAGTTTTGACTGTACCGGTAATCGGTTGTCACATTCTATCGTTTTCCTCCGAGTTGGGCTGTCTGCGTGTCATTGCTGGAAAGATAACCGGCGGCAAAGTCAAACCATGGAACCCCGACCCTCCGGTGGTTTCTCGCCGACGAGGAAGAGAAACGGCGTGAGAGCTCGGACGAGAATAGACTCACTGGACCATGATATCCTCCATATCATCTTCTCCTTCCTGAATATCCTCAACCTTGTTCGCTGCACTGTCGTTTGCAAATCCTGGTACGTTAAACACTCTTAACTGCTTCAATTTTACAATTATTGGTTTTGGTTACTCCAGTAATAAGAGATAAAATTATTGCCAATCGACTAGTTGGTTGGCAGGAGGAAACAATAGATAGTCCATGATAGATCTCAAAATCTGTAAGGAAAGCAACAAGAAATTCAAAACTATTTGCCTAGAAATGAAATAAACAGAGTTTACAGGGCTCATAATCAAAAACACAATTCAGGATGTATCAAACTGCAGACTTCTTTATTTCAAATATTTTTGAGATTGACTTTGATTAATGTAAGCATAAAGTTATGTAAGCATAAAGTTATGAGAAAGAAGGTCCCCATGACATGACCATTAGAGGTAATGATTATGGATTATCATTCTCTGTGTATATGCTTCCAATCTTGTAGGCTGTAGCTCTATCTTGAACAAATGTATTTGGGCATCACTGATATTCCTTCCATCTGTATGTAGAAAATGCGAAATCTAAATTAAGTTGAAAATATAAGAAATCTTTGGCAGCAACCTAACCTATGGTTAAGATACATTCATAACAGCTGATCGAAAAAAAAAAAAATGAGACATTCATAACAAATGGAAAAAAAAAATCACAATATATTACCCCAAAAACATCTTGCAAGTGTTTATAGAACATCTGCTGCCCCTTTTTGAATTTAATCTGCAATTGCAGTGAAATGGTCATTACAAGAAGAATCATGCAGCTGTATGGCAAAAGTCTAACAAAGAAAGTAATCTAACAAAAGTTGATTTAAACATAACTGAGAACATGGGGAGATTACCATTCTATCTCCACATTGGGGATGTGGGCTATCGTCATTGAGTAACCTCCTTTCTTCTTCAAGCATTTTCGTTTTAAGTGTTTACAGTTTCTGATACAAAATCTTCCAAGTGTTGCAGGCAGGCCTTCCCTTGGCAAGTGTCTTAGATTTGGACAGTCAACAACTTCTAGTTCTTCTAGAGAGGTCAGGTTTTGCAGTGCTGAGGATAGAGATTCCAGATTGTTGAGTCTTGCAATGAAAATCAAGCTAAGGCTCGTAGGAAGCAAACAATTTTCATCCGGGAAGGAAGCTATATCAGGGGAACCAACAATAATGAGCCCTTTAAGAGAGGTTAGAGAGTCTAGGTTCCATTCTGACATTGGCTCCTTCAGATTTATACAATCCCAGACCTCAAGTAACAATAATTGAGGGGGCAAACCACCTTTAGAAAAGGTCACAAGACTTGGACAGTCACAAACTGTTAGATATTGAAGAGAAGCAAGATTTTGCATCCTCTCTGGCATAGACTTGAGCTTGACACAATTGTAGATTTCTAATGTTCTCAAGGTAGGGGGGAGGCCTGTCTCTGGGAAGGAAATTAAAGCCAGACAACTACTTATGGTTAACTCAGTCAGATGTGCAAGGCAATGTAGGCATTCAGGCAAATATTCAAGAGTAGCATAATTGCACATACTGATGTATTCAAGTGATGCATTGTTGTGTAACAGCTGCTCTGAAAGTGGCTCCAGCTTTGAGCAATCTGAAATCTTTAGTGTTTTAAGATTAAATGGTAATATGCCTTCAGGAAAGCAAATTAGAGAGGGGCAATCAACAATCTCCAAGCTCTCAAGATGAGACATGTTTTTGATGTTATCATTCTGCATGATCCCTTCAGGTAGAGACTGCAGATCTCTACAACCTCGGATTTTCAACCTCTGCAACCTGGTAGGCAAGATGCCTCTTGGAAAGGATGTGAGGGAAGGACATTCTTCAATCTCCAAGTCTTGAAGAAGATAGTCAGTAGTCCTGCAGTTAAGCATCACTGTCCAATCAGGCAAGGTTATAAGAGCTGCACAATCTTTAAGCTTAATACATCTAAGAGTGGATAAGCAGCCTGTCTCAGGAAAGGATAAAAGTCTTGGGCATGACTCAACTTGCAAACTTTTGAGAGATGGTTTCTCCAAGTTGCCACAATTCATTGATTCCATATCTTCCAAACTACAAGGAAGACCTTGCTCATTTACTACCAGAGACACAAATTTGGAGCAGCCCTTAATTTCCAGATGCTCAAGAGAAGCAATGTTTTTCAGCCCAATGCCCTTCTTCCACAAAGATGTCAGCTCAGTGCAATTTGAAACCTTAAGCATTTGAAGTGCACCTAGAGACTTCAGCATCCCTTGCGGCAGACATGAAAGGTCCTTTATGCCATGGATCCTCAATGTGGTTAGGGAAGTAAGATCAACAATATTTTCCAGCCTTACTTTGTTGCAATCTTCAATTTTTAATTCACAAAGGGAGGGCAGGCTTATAAGTGAATCCCCCAATTTTGGGCAATGACTAATGATAAACTTCACAAGGGAAGGAAAGCAGCTTGGTAGGTTTCCAATCAGTTTTGGACAATTTTGAATTACAAGCTCACGAAGAGATGGAAATCCATCATCCAAATCCACATTAGTCTCTTGAGGAGAAGACCAGCATTCCCATTCTAACATATTCTGAAAGCAGAGAACTTCTAAGGATGGAAACCACTTAGTAGACAGAAAATCATCTCCATAGAACTCAAAACCCACCTTTTTGACTCTGTTCATGCCTTGGATGGACACCGTCCTCAATGATGGCAGTTTTCCAAGTGATGGAAGTAACATGCTTCCACTACAATTATGGAGTTTTACTTCCACAACATTAGTGAATGAGGGATCTCCTAACCAATGTGGAAATCTTTTACCACCATAAAACGAAATTCTAAGTTCTTTCAAATTTTTATGAGGCTGTAGCATATCAAGAACATGCATTTCATCTTCTTCGTTCTGGTAATCAAGGAACTCACTCCATTTCAAATCTAAGGCATCAAGGTCCTGCTTATCCATTAGATTAGCATGCCAAGCATCTCGAGAATCCACCACATTTTCCAACCCCATAATGCAAAACTCCCCTTTTAGATGCATCAAATCCTTCAATTCTTTAATGCCAAACTGATTGTCATTTCCCACAATGAATTTGGACAAAATCTGAAGGCTTTTCAAATTACCAATGTGAAGTGGCATCTCCACTAATTTCTCAGTATCAGTAAGATCAAAAACAAGAAGGTTAATCAGATTTTCAATACCTTGTGGCAATTTAGTAAGCTCCTTGCAGCCACGCAATAAAAATGTTTGTAAGTTGAATAGGTAACCCATAGATTCTGGTAACTGTGTAATTGTAGTGTAAGACAAATTAAGGTACCTCAAGTGCTCCAAATGACCAATAGAATACGGTAGTTTGTCCAGGCAGTAACCACTCAAACATAACACTCTTAAGTATCTTAATTCTGCCACCAACTCCTGCAACACATCCTTGCTCAAGTAACAGCATGCTGTTGAAGATGATGTATCAACTGGTAATGCTATGAAAGTCCGTAAAGACTTCGCTGAATCAAATACTTCAAATCTTTTGAAAATGTCATATTGGCGACGAGTGAATGACAAATGACGAAGCTTTTCAATACTTGCAGGCAATTTATCTCCAGAGTTATCCTCAAAATGAAAGCATATTTCTCCAGCAACATTTTGAGCTAGATCATGTATAAGGTCGTGCATGACAAACAGTGTTTTGTTGCTGTTTGACCGTTGGAAAAAAGACCTTGAAAGTAAATCATGAAAATATGCAAGACCTAGGTCCCACACTTGCTTTTCTCCCTTGGCTTGCTGTATCAAACCCTCGGCCATCCATAGTAGTACCAGCTCATTCTTGTCAAATTCATAGTCTTTTGAAAAAATAGCACAATACGCAAAACATCGCTTCAAATGGGAAGGAAGATGATGGTAACTCAACTTCAAAGCAGGAACGATGCCACCTCTTTCTTCTAGTATGTCCCATATTTTGCTCCTAAGCATATCTTCCCACTCCTTATAATTCACTTTACCACGCAGGAGCCCACCTAGTGTCTTGGCTGCCAATGGTAATCCTTTGCACTTCTTCACTATCTCTTCACCAATTCCTTTTAGATTTGGGTGTCCATCAAAATTACTAGCTCCAAGAGCATGTGTGGCAAAAAGTGAAAGGCAATCATCATCAGACAAGGCCTGCAAATGGTATACCCCACATGTTGTCATGATAGATGCAACCCTTTCACTTCGAGTCGTTACAAGTACCTTGCTACCAGCTGCTCCCGCCAAGAAGGGTCTACGTAGAACATCCCACCTTTCATAGTTCTCATTCCAAACATCATCTAAAACAATCAAAAACTTCTTTCCAGAAAGCTCCTCCCTTAGCCTCAGTTGAAGCGAATTTAGGTCGCCCTTGGAATGGCAACCCTCTATGGTGACAGCCTGCAATAGAATCCTGGTCACCCTAACAACATCAAAGTCCTCAGAGACACAAACCCAAGCCCTCAATTCAAAAAAGTTTTCAACTTTCTCATCGTTGTATACTAACTGAGCAAGCGTCGTTTTACCCACTCCCCCCATTCCCACAACAGAAACCACACCAATTTCAAAATTCATCAATCGTTGAATAATCACATCTTTATCTATTTGCCGGCCGTAAACCTGAGATTCATCAACAAGAGAACTCGTCGACCGCAGCCCCTCCCTTACTCTCTCCGATCTCCTTTCACCACTCCTCGCCAACAAATTCAAAAAATTCTTCTTCTTAACCATGTCTTCAAATCTAGCAGTGATGTCTTCTATTTTAGAAACCATCCGTGCACTGAACTTAACACCGCTTAAATTCAAGCCAGGGAAACAATTTGGGAGAAATCGGCGTACCTTACTACCGCTGCCCGCCATCGGAGTCTTCCTCGGTATTCCCCGGCACAGGGCGTTGGTGGCAATTTCATCGATGATATCTTCAGCATCATACATAATGTCTCTTAAATCGTTGAGCCAGAGCTTCACCGCTTGACTGACCATTTGCTTATCTTCTGCGTCACCGAGAATGGCTTTGATCTTTGGCAACAACTGCTTCCACTGGTTGAGTTGGGACGAAACTTGGTCTTGCCGTACAAACTTGAGAAGCTCTGAGGAGGCAAATAATCGCTCAACTATATAATCAAACATAGAGGAGAGCATTGCATCAACAATACTGGACGCTACAGCTTCCATTGGAAATGAACGGACCAGGAATCGAAACCAAAAAAATGCAGATTAACTTATGAAGAAAGTCTGGGGTGCAGTGAATGTTACAACTGTTCTTCTTCATCTCCACGTCATGTACAACTGTTCTTCTTCATCTTCACGTCATGTTGTGCTGTAATAGCAGGTACTGGATTATAAAGTTAAAGAACAATAAAAATTAATACTTTTATTAAAAAAATATCAAAAAAAAAATTATAAAAAATATACATAAATCTACAAATATAACACTTTATAATTTGAAGTTGCTGGTTGATAGCAACTTGAAAAGAAGAGATTTTATGTGTTCAAAATAGAATGAACATATGGATAAAACTCACAATTAAGTGTCACGCATATATAGATAGATTAAATTGTAATATACAGTACTTTCAAAAAAAATTTATTCAGAAAAATGGGAACTTGAAGTTTAGAAATTACTTGCGAAATGATCAAGTATCGCTTGCAAGAATCGAATGAACTTTGCTTTATTCCTAAGAAAAGAATACAAATGCGAAGGCGAACCTTTCCCTTTATTTCGAACGAAAAGACAACAGGAACAACGAATCGTTTCACATATATGATATATCAACATCGAATCCGAATTCCATCGATATCATATGGCTGAGTATGATAGCAACTTGTATGGTCGCAATTTGTTGTGGAATAGGGTGCAGCATCCATTATTTTTTTATATATTATATTTATATAAAATTTTTATTAATTATTTTAATTTTTTAAAATTTGTTACAATTTTTAAAAATATTTATTTTTAATAAATATAAATAAATTTTAATTATTAAAAAATAAAACGATAAATAATTAAAATTTTATATAAATATAATTTATAAAATTTATATATAAACATAATATATAAAATTAATATGTAAATAAATTCATATTCGTATATATAATTTTAAATGAGTTACATTAATAAATAAAAAGGATTGAGCTTGAGCTCAATTATAAACTTAAAAGTATAATCAAGCTCAAGCTTGAGTAGGGCTAAAAGCTTGCGAGCTATTCCAGCTTGGGCTACTGAACTATTCATCCCTCCACATTTATAGTATAGCAAAAGCCATTAGACATTCTAAAAATACCTTCCATTTTAAAATTGCGGGGAAAATTTTTGCCGATCATTTTAGTGGGTTGCACTTACACCCTCACTTAGAGGAGGGATTTCAGTGGTGGTCGAAATTCGCTGGTTGCAAGGCGAGGTAGGAGGACAGGAATAGGGGTGAAAAGAGAAAATAAATATTGTAAAAAGGGTTTGTTTAACAATGTTAATTAAGGTTAAGAATATATTAGTTATATATTTTTATTAATTTATTTAAAAAATTAACAAAAATTAATTTTATTTTTAATACTTATTATATGTATTTGATTTTAATTGAATGTTAATAAAATTCAACATAATTTTTACTTTTTATAATAACTATTTAAAAATTAATTAATAAACTTTTCACTTATATATATATAATCAATTTTAAAGAAACCAGTCAAAAAAGAGAGTTTTACCGCTGAAAAATTTTAATTTTTCATTTATGGTTTCTGAAGAGCTTTTATGGGAATGCGCTCATATTATAACGACTATCGTCTTCCACTTATATAGTCGTTTCGTGATCATGTTTTGCATTGAAAAACAGGTATTTGAGCAATTGTTGACTTCCGCATAGAGATTCTAACCGAGACTCGTGTTTGGATTCTTACAGTTCCTATCTCCAAAAAATTCCCGACACATTATCGCTGCTCAAAAGAGACAGCTTCGCTGGACTTTGTGCCGTCCTCGTTACTCGTTCTAAGTTCAAGTTGTAGCGGGGAGAGTCATGCGGGGAAAGAAACTGTTGTTGGATTGGGTATATCCGTATATAAAATATAATTTAAAATTTAATTTATTAATAAATAAATATTATTTTATAAGTT